ATGTAACCAGAATGCAGGTCCTGAAAAGATGCCAGGTCTTTCAGTGCTTATGTTAGACTCCTCAGTTTCCAGACCTGTGAGAAGTAAATTTATGTCATTTTTTAGCCACCCAATTTGCTGTTTTTGTTAGAGCAATGTACTGAACTGAGACAACTACATTTAACACAGCCCCAGAGAAGCCATTTAGAGACATGTCAATGGTAATGAAATGCCCTAGTGTTAGGTAGGCTGAACTCTATACACAGCATGACCTGATATTCCCTACACCTCATTCTGGAAGTTTCTTGCAAGCTTTTGTGCTTAGGCTTGTCTTGTAAGAAGTTAGAGAGAACTAGTGTCACCTACTGCAATGGCTGTTTGGTTGTCAACTTGGCTACATCTAGAACTAACTAAAAGACAAGTGGCTGGGCACACTTAACTATGAGGGGTTTTAATTAAATCATCTCAAATGGGAAGACCAATGCTAAATCTAGATCTTTTTAAGTAGGACACTCCACCTTAAATATGGGCCATGCTTTCTGGTGGCAGCATATACATACATACAAAGAGACAGACAGACAGACATGCTTTATAGAACACAGAAGGAAGCCTTCGTTCTTTGTCTGATTGTTCTTGTTCTCATTATGGCAAGCTCATTCCTTCACTGGCTTTAGAGCCTACTTCTTCAGAATTCTGGCTTATTCTGAAGACCAGCTGAGTCATCCATTCTTATGGATTGAACAACTACGATATTCTGGGACTTTCCATTGGTAGATAGCCATTGTTGGACTAGGTGGATCTCAGCCTGTAAACTACTCTAATAAATCCATATATATATATATATATATATGTATATATATATATATATGGATATACCTATATGGGGATTTATTATGTATATATATATATATATACATACACATATATTCTGTACTATATATGTATATTCTATACTTTCTGTTCCTCTAGAGAACACCTATGGTTAAAGTGATGTAGCAGTCAAATAAATACTTCTCAAAATAAATTTATTTATTTAACAAACAGAAATTGCTTAGCAAGAGCATCATACTCAGCTGGAACCCACTACTCTTTTTCTGAATAAATAAACTAATGAGCTATGAAGAGAAGGAAGAATGCACCTCAGGATAAGAAAGTATTCTAGATAGTATGGAAACCTACACCCTGAGATGGTGACAACATTTGATGGAGTTACTTCAATATGGATTGAGAAAAAGTATTATCTTTCTAAGTGTATAATCCTTGTTTTAATTCATAACAGCACCTCCCTGTAGTTACAAACTATATTTACCTATTCCTGTAATTGTGTTTAAGAATTCTCACATCTTATTGATACTGTAATCTTTTTACCTATTATTTACATTAATTATTGAATGTTGAGTTGCTTTGTGGGGTTGTAGCCCAGCTATTGTAACAATTACAGTTAATAATAATAACAGGAACTTGCTTCTATTGTATATAGAATGTTGTGTTCTTTGGTTTACATATGTATCCTTTTCAGATTTCATGTGTTGGCAGAGTTCAGACTCCCAGGTTAGAGATTAAGATGTTTTGAAATCATCTAAGATCCTGTGACTAAGAACTGGGTACATGAAGGTTCCCATTCATCTTCCAACTGTGTGTTTTTTCAGTTTGAGAAGAATTTCTGAGTCAACATGTGAAAGGAAAGTTAAGGCCTATGGTATAAATGGTCAAGTTTACCGTACACTGTAATAAGTTTATGAATTTTATTGTAAGCACGGGGATTTGGCTTTACAAAGGGACAGAACAGTTGTCCTATCACTCGCTGCGAAGTGACAGGTTCACCGTCAGTGATGGGCAGGTTCCATCTGGCATCTGCAGGAGCTTAGGCTTTGCCTGAGCTGTTAAAGCAGTAGTTCTCAACCTTCCTAGTGCTGAGACCCTCTAATAAGTTCCTCGTGTGTGGTGACCATAAAACTATTTGCTACTTCATAACTGTAATTGTACTGCTGTTATGAATTATATGTAAATGATAGCTGATATGCAACTCTCAGGATAGCTGATATGCAACTCTCAAGGGGGTTGTGACCAACGGGGTGTTAAGGCTACAGTGTTTTCTCTTCTCTTTGATGCCCACTGGTATTAACTCCATAACAGCACCAGTTTGGTTTTCCTAATACCTCAATACAACCCTCCCACTTCCTGTGGAATCTGTTTCTCTAACAGAACACTGTAGTCTCCAGCTACAACATGGCCAGTCATTCCCAGTCTAATCACAGCCTGCTTCACAGCTTATCTGGCCAGCACAGCCTAGTTGCCAACACTGAGCATCCAAGTTATTAGAAAGCTAGACCTGGGGCAGGAGAGATGGCTCAGAAGTTAAGAGCACTGGTTGCTCTCCCAGAGGTCCTGAGTTCAATTCCCAGCAAGGACAGGATGCATCATGACCATCTATAATAGGATCACATGCAGGCGGAACACTGTATACATAATAAATAAATCTTTAAAAAGGAAAATAAATGTGGAGAATATTTGATGTGTTAAATATTAAAAAAAGAAAGCTAGACCTTCCTACTCCTTTGCTTTCACATATTCTTTCCCTGCCAAAAAAACAAAAACAAAAACAACAACAACAAAAAAAAACCAATAATCTCCTACGTGTACTATTTTATGGCTCATAGAACTATTTTTAGGTCCACAAAGGAAGAAAATCTGTATTGTCAATGGCCATATCTCGATATCTAGTGTCTGGAACATAGTAGGTCTCAATAAATATTTTCTCTGGATTCACTCAAGGTTAAATAATGATGATGATGATGATGATGATGATGATGATGATGATGATGATGGAGCACATTTTCAGGACAGTCTCCTGGAGTCCCAGGAAACTAGATGCTTCCTTGGGCCATCATTGGCCTTGGGCTACATTGATAATGTGTGTGTGCATGTATGCGTGAGTGTGTGTGTATGTGTGTGCATCTATGTGTGTTTCTTAGTCCTTCTCTGGAACTAGACTGAGCTCTTGGGTGGAAGAGACCAAATCTTACTCACACTTGGATCTTCAGCACAGGGCCTAGCTTGTCATAAGCCAGTGGTTCTCAGCTTTACTAATGCTGCCACCCTTTAATACAGTGGTGACCTCCAAGCATAAAATTATTTCACTGCTACTTCATAATGCTGCTGTTATGAATGTAATGTAAATGCCGATATGCAGGATATCGGACATGCGACCTCTGTGAAAGGGTCGCAATCCTGAGGTTGAGAACCACTGTGGTAAGCCTTTGTAGATATCCCAGAATTGCAACTGCAGCTCCAGGGATCACATGAGGCAAGCAGAGCTGTTACTTCACAGACGAAAACTAGAGATCCTGGGAGGGAAAAAAAAAATATGTATATACCAACTCAATTCCCTCCTGAACCCAGAAACTGGTGCGGGAACACAGGTCTCTGAAGCTTTCTTATGAGGAAGTCTTGTGGTAGTCACCCTATAGAGGCCACAGGGAACGCTTCCTTATGGACCTTCTGTAGAGATTTCCCAGGACCCCACTCTTGAACTTGGCCAAGACTGCAGGGCCGTGCATACCAGTCCGCGGTCATGGTGGCATCCTCAAGCGGTTATCCCCGTCAGGGACAGATTAGGGAGAGGGGACTGAGTCCCAGGCAGACTAATGGAGAGAAGGATGTGAGAAGTGTCAAGGGACAAGGGCCATTTTAATCTTTTCAAATCTGTCCACGAGGGTGGTGGGCCAGACAGGCAAGGCCCTTTCACCTTTCTGAAACAACCCTCAGGGAATTCCTGATCACTAGAGCGACTATTGTCCCAGTTCAATATAACTATAGAGTTCTCTATTTCAAAAGTGTTACTGCAGAAGATTGTTATGGAGTGGCCTCCCTAGCAGAAAGAGGTGTCTTTTTCAGGTAAAAACACGACAGGACTCTGAGCAGCCTCGCCCCAGGCCTTGACCACTTCTCTTCTTTTTCTGTTTTCCCCTACTACATTGCTTCTCTTACCAAGATGCATTAAGTAAGGTCAAGAGGCTGAAGTCTGCCACCGCGGTCTGAACTTTCCCCGGGTCTGCTCAAGCCAGTAGTCCGGAACCTTCCCAGGAAGTTAAGAATAAGCTTGGGGGTGGGGGTGAAAGTGCAGCGTTCAGTATTGAATATGTGCCTGGCCCACGTGCTGTGGTACGACTGGAGAAGCCCAGCTCCTTGGCTGGGAGCCAACATCGCTAACTGGAGGTGCGAGTGCAGAGGTGTCTCTCCCTGAGCCTCCAAACAGACGTTGCCCTGAAGTCAAAAGATGCCAAAAGCACCCCAATCCGGTAACTGAGGAGGGGGGAGGGGCGGAGGGGGTAGTGACACCAGCTAAAAGCTCACAGTGGACGTCTGTTGAAATGAGAAGAGCTGGAGAGGAAGAATGAAACTAATTCTAGAGACAGGGCTGCAGGGCAGCTGCGAGAATCATTCTTCAGAAACCGACGCGAGCTGCGGGCTCAGGTTAGCATCACAGCAGAGGGGCCTGGGACTCCGAGGATGCGTGGCTTTCTGCAGAAAGCCACAAGGAAGAGGATCTAAGTCGCAAAGTTGACCTGAGCTTGCAAGTGTTGGCGTGGCAGCCGTGGTAGACACACAGCCCGGCATCCCTGGCTTTGCAGCGCGCGCAGCTGGCCAGGAATGCCCAGAGCCCCGGACCGCGGACCGCGGAAGGATATAGAGCACTGTTTACCTCGCGCCTGGACCAGCCATCCAGGGGCGAGGCCCGCGCCACTGGCTAGGGTGCAGCAGGAGTGGCGGCAGTAGCCCTGGCCGCCGGCGGGCGCTGGGGAGCCGCGCGCACTGGCAGCGGCGCGGCTGATTGATGGGCTCCCGGCTCAATGACAAGGGCCGGGGCGCGGGTGGGGCGGGGTCGGAGAAGAGGGCGGGGCTCAGTGGAAATGTGTCGGTGACATTGAATGGGGAGATCGAGCGCGAGCGAGCGGGGCGCGCGCACACAGACGCGCACACACAGCCGGGCTCGCTCCGAGATCCCCGGCCACGTAAGTAACTATTAATACCGCTTCGCCCGGGGATGCGGGCGTGCTGAGCGCCGGGATTGGCCTAAGGCGCCGTGGCCATCCCCTTTAATTTTTAAATACTCAGTCCTCTCTTAGTTCTGGGTGGCAAGAAGAAAAATAATAATAAAAGAAGACAAGCCGTCGATTTTTTTTTTTTTTTTAATTTTTCCTCCAGAACAAACCCCGCCGTGCAATTCGCTCGCAAAGGCATCGGGAGACAAGAGTGGTTTGCAAATTCTTCCAAGGCTCAAGACCCGGTTGTGCAGCGGGAAAGGAACGCTCCCAGCTCCCACAGGACCCCCGGAAGCTCCCGCCGCTGGTCCCCCGGGTCACCGCCCGCACTTCTTGCCTCTTTCGGAGGAGGATCTGGGACGTGAGCGGCGACCTCAAGAGCCAGTGCCGACCGCGCGGGCTCAGCCTTGGGCTTTGTGGCGGTACCTGTACCCGCTCCACACCGCTCAGCGAGTGCCCGTCCGTGCTCACCGCTCAGCTTCTGCAATCTTTTGTTGGCACCGCTGGCCGCCCGAAGTTAAATGCGCCTTTGCTATTTTGCTTTTTTTCCTGTCTATTTTTTTCTTTTCTTTTCTTTTTTCTTTTTGAGAGCTCTTGCGATTTTTTGGGAAAGCCTCAGACGCCATCTACAGTTAAGACTTAGGTAACTGCCCTCTCTAGCACCCCCTTCCACGCCCCCCACCCTTTCCACCCAAAAAAGGGGGGTGCAGCGCGGATTCTGGCTGCCGCGCGGCGTGAGCCGGCAGACCCGTGCTTATTTCCTTTTTCTTTTTGTTTGGTTTCTAACGCGTGGAGGGCGAGCCGGCGCCGCGCGCTCCCCGAAGACTGCACAAACTCCACGCAGGGCTCCTCCGCCTGGTCTGCGGATCCTCAGCTGGGGATTCGCTCAGGAACCCGCCGCTGCAGCTCCGCACCCCAGAGGCACGCTCACTCGTCCAGATCCACGCTGCAAGCAGAGACCCACCGACCCCACAGAGCGGTTCTGTACCGCGCTGGCGGCTTCGGGGTAACAAAAGGACCCGAGCTGTCCGCAGAGCGCGCACCCCCGGGAGCAGGGCTCGCAGCCGGGGATCAACCCTGTGGCGCCCATCCGGGCAGTAGCTCCCAACTCTTCCTCCACCGAGCCCCAGTCGGGTCCCCTCCCCTCTTGATCCTTTCAAGTCGGTGGCACCCAGGCGCCTTCACCCGCGGCTCATCCATCTCTCCAGCCGGGTTTTTCGGTTTGTTTGTTTTGTCGTGTGCGATCCCCACACTCATGAACATACACAGGTCTACCCCTATCACAATAGCGAGATATGGGAGATCGCGGAACAAAACCCAGGATTTCGAAGAGCTGTCGTCTATAAGGTCCGCTGAGCCCAGCCAGAGTTTCAGCCCGAACCTAGGCTCTCCGAGCCCGCCTGAGACTCCGAACTTGTCGCATTGCGTTTCTTGCATCGGGAAATACTTACTGTTGGAGCCTCTGGAGGGAGACCACGTTTTCCGCGCTGTGCATCTGCACAGCGGAGAGGAGCTGGTGTGCAAGGTAACCAGCCGGCATTGCTTTTGCTTTTTGGCTTTTGCTTAAATAATAATAAGAATAATAATAATCGCGGTCCTTTGCAAAGGGCCGGGACGAGGTGGGAGGTCTCGGAGCCCTCTAGTCCAGGGGCGGAAGATTTGCGGGATTTTTATGCCTGGCCTCGTTAAATGGGTTTATTTGTGTGTCTGTCCACACTCGACTAGTTGCGAAGTTTTCAGACCGATTCAGACAATGGGGCGGGCTGCCGCGGGGGCGTTTTGGGGAAAGCCGGGGAGGGAGGGCAGCGAGTCTGAGCCAGGGCATGGACACGCGTGCCCTGCGAGGCTTGTGGAGCTCTGGTGCACAGGACCGGTTCCCCTTGTTGGGGGGGGGGGGTGGATTTCTCTAAATCGAACCTCCTCCCCTCCCTGCGAGGACTAGGGAATCCCCGGTTGGTTTTCAGACGTCGCTTGCTTTTGTAGCCATTGTTCTTAGCAGCCTGCAGGTGTTAAACCTTTGTTCCAAAGGTGCCCTTTAAAAGAGACACAAAAGTGCCCCCTCTGGCTGAGCCCAAGGCTCTAGTGGAAAAAAAAAAAAAAAGGAATTTTAAAGCCCCTTCTTCTCCCTGGAGCCTGGAAAAGAAGGTTGGGGTGGAAATCAACCCCTTGCGCACCTTTGGGTGAACAACGAATCCCTTGGGTCTTTTTGTCTAGGTTTCTTCACATCTTCAGACTCCCTAGCTTCACACCCCCAATTGCTGCACCCCAACTCCACCTTTGCCCGTCCACAGACTGCCCCGTGCTAATACTAAGAAGGGCACTTCAATTTCCTTTTTGTCTTTGACCCTGAACAGTGACTGGTTTGCGTCTCTGTTTGTCTGTGTGTCTTTGTGTACGAGCACCAAGTACCAGACAAGGGGATTCAGGAAGGACAGTAACAAAATATTTGACTACAGTCCATTTCCTGCTGCAGTGGAGAACAGTGCTGCCTCAGATTGAGGTAGATCAAGAAAACAGTACCACTTAAATTTAGTTTTTTTTCTCGTTTGTTTATTTTTTTATTTATTGAGGGGGAGTGGGATTTATGTACTGAGCACATCTGTGCTACAAATAACGTATCACACTTTCCTCATTAATCAGTGGCTGCTTTGTGAAATCGCCTTATTTCCTGCTGAATTGGAGCGCTTCTTTCAAAATGCGGTGGGTGCGGATCTCCAGGCAGTTTTGAGATTATTTCCGAATTTAGAGGAAACCAAAGACTCTTTAAGCATTGCTCTTTGCGTGTACTAAGCATTGGGGATTTTGCATCTTTTCCCAGTTACTGTAATCAAGAGCAGCTATGCCCAGCTAAAGCATTAAATTCAGTAGGCAACTCAGAACCTGATTGGAGCCCTGCACACTGCACAATAGGACAGTCATCCTTTGAAATGAATGAATCTCACTGAGCTGTCATTCTCCTATGAAATATGCACCATCATCGGCAGTGAGCATTCCTTCTCCTTTTGCTCAACTTCAGTACAGCATTTTAATATATCTCCCTCCCCGCAAAGGCTAGAGATTTTCAGTAAACAGAGTCTGTGGCCAAATTCTGCAGAGGCATCTTGCTATTCTCTCTTTGTTTGAAACCAGGGTTGTCTCTGGCCTCTATTCTTTCTCCTTTCAGATCCTTCAAGACATATTTCACTCTAGGCTGACCTGATAGTGTCATTTGCAGACTTGCTCCCTGGCCCCAAACTGTACTTATCTGCTGGTTTAGTTATTGCAAAGATTGAATCAGCTCTTCACCAATGACAGTGTGGCTGCAAGTGGATTTGAGTGCAGTATCATTGCTCTGTTTGACAGAGGTCATCCCTTCACGGCTCTGAAGCTTCTGTTCCCCTGCCTTCTGACCGGAGGTGGTGTGGGTGACTTCTGCACGCAGAGCTGCGTGCAAGACTCTCCGGGAGGTTTTATGAGGGTGTTGCTGGGAACTACCCCAACATACAAACTGTGGGCTTTTTAGCTCGCTGCAGGACTCAGTGAAGTCTCCTCATTGAATCCTCCTCCTAGCGCTGTGCTCCTGTTTCCTAGCGTTGTACTCATGCAAGAAAAGGTGCAAAAGCAGATTAAACCAAAAGGCTGTGTTTACTATGGAGGACTCAATGGAGTATTCTGTAGGGCACTCTTTGTGGGGGCGGGGAGAGCAGAGGAGCACTTCCAGGGGCACAAGCACAATTTCCCATCCTGATTGTTGTCTCTACGTGCCTACTTTAGTTAGCCAAAGTAGGGGAGGATCTTTAGGGGGTCTTCAGCTGTTTTCACAAAAATTCTACTACTAGCTACTAGCTACTGTGCAGAATGGCATAATTACTCTCTTGGCAGAATGGACATTTTTTTCTTTTTCTTGTTCTTTTTTATTATTATTCATGATAAATATGGCCCTGATCTTAGGGCCTTATCTGAACTGTCACATTATATAACCAAGGCTCCCAATTAAACATTTAAAAGGAGCCGGCACCCAGGCTCATGGCTTGATTTTTGCACTTGAGGGTGATGGTTTAAATGCCAGTCCAAGCCTATAAATGACTGTTATAAATGACTAATAAAAGTTTGGCTCCTTCCTGTTTAGGAAAACATAAGTAATTCTTTTCATTTTTCATTTTCTGTCCACCATTTTGCACTCTCCTACAGAGGGTATGGCCACACTGGGAAGCTGCCACGAATTTGTTTGATGCCTTCATTTAATTCTCTGTCCATTCAGCTTTTCAGCCATCCTGTGGGCTAGCAGGCTAACCATGCTGAGCAAAAAGGTTATTTTATTTTATGTTTTTAAAGGCAACTGGAAACAGGAAGTACATTATAAATAATCAGAACTGTAGGCCCTGGCGACAGAACCCACAGCCTGATGCTTCAGAACAAATCATGCTTGTTACATAATGCAGCCTGTTGACATTAGCCACTGTGTGGTGTGTGTGTGTGTGTGTGTGTGTGTGTGTGTGTGTGTGTGCTCCTTGATGAAATTGCTGAGACTTCCTTGGTTCTGTGGCCTGCAGTCTGTTTGCTAAGGTTGATTCAAGCGTTTCAGATTCCTAATTGAGCGGGCCTCTGAGGTCACTGCTCTGAGGTCATCATCTGACAGTTTCAGGGTGTGATTTGTGGTCTCTGGGGAGGCTGAAGCATTCATTCTTAAATTCGAGGGTGTAGTGGCAACAGCTGTGCCACTTTCCTGAGATACCTCATTACCGGCTCATTCACAGCCTTGCTGTTGACTTTGCCTCCTCAGCCCCCCGTTAGCACCAGCCCCTTTGAGGTGCTTATTGTCCCTGGTTGACTCACAGGTTTTTTTTTTTTTTTTTCTGCTCAGTTACTTAACTCCTGGATTTTTATATTGCAGCCTGTGTTCCTGAATGGGCTACAGAAGGCCCAGGAATTCCTCCTCAGAAGGATTCGAGGGTAACATATGCATTTGACACTAGGTCTTGTCAGCAAAGAGAAGAGAGACAGAGATTTCTGGGTGGGATCAGGATCCATGGAAGGTTTTGGCGTCTAGGTCAGGGTGTTTATTTTACAAAGATGGAGGCTCTGTGTGCTCTTTATCCATCCTATTTGGACGAATGGTGGCCCAGCCACAGCCATAACCATCCCGAGGACAGGGGATGGTTTTCCTGCTTCTTTCCCACCACACTCCAAAGAATGATGATGCGGGTCTCACTTGGGACCAATTGACAGGAGCTCACATCTACCACAGAGGATGGCTAGAGGTTTCTGCAAGGCCTTCTCTTAAGTGAAACCCCACCCACCCTCCCCATACCACTTCCACATAGCCTCCCCCTCTACCCACATTCTTCCCCTGAGCAAGGGAAACCCCATTCCAATCCTAGGTATAGCTGAGTATGTAGAGGCTTTGAAATGAATGACAAGCTCCCCTTTTCATCCTTCAAATCTTTCTGTTGTGTTCATTTCTCTTAAGTCTGTTCAGAAGGTATTGATGGTGCGTTTTTCTTTTTAAGCAACAGTGAGGTGGCATTTCACAGGCTAACTCTGATTCACAGAAAATCATTACATAATTGATTCATTGAGTTAGAACACTGTGGAGGGAGGCCATCCCGACTCCCTGTGGAGAAGGCCTCTGTGCTAGTCCTGGAGCGGCCACTGGGGGCGAGAGTTTAAGCTTGTTCTCTTGACCTCAGTTTGCACATCTGTAAAATGAATTCATCACATATAGAGAACTATGGAGGAAAGCCTGGATTTATAATTAATTACTTATTCATTCATGTACATTTTTGGCACATTTTTAAAAAAGTAAAGAAATGTTGTGTCTTTGTCCTGGAGTCACTTAGGTTTTTTTTTTTCTTTAAGTATTTTCTTGTATTCATTTTTTTTCTATAAATATGTAGCTGTAGGGAAGAATAATAAAACTTAGCTAATAGCTCAGACAATAAAGTGCTTGCCATACAAGCATGAAAATCTGAGTTTGATCCCCAGTATCTACATTTAAAAAGCTAAATTTGGTGCTGCGTACTTGTGAGATGAGCTCTATAAGGCAAGGACAGGAGGGTCCCAAGGCTTCCAGGTCAGCTAGCCTCACCAAATTAGTAGGTTCAAGGCCAGTAGGAGACTCTGTCTCAAAAAAACAAGATAGGTAGTTTCCCAAGGAGCCATAACTGAGCTTGATCTCTGGATCTCTGGCCTACACACACACACACACACACACACACACACACACACACACTAATGAAATTTAGCATTTTTTTATTTTCTTCACTTTTTCCTAGACTCCACCAATACTGAATCAAGTTTCATTTATCCATTTGATGCCATTTAGGATTTGGAGGTTCAGAGGAGTGTAGAGGTTTAAGTTTCAGTCCCTGTTATGCCACGTCAAAACACAGGCCTGTGGGAGGCTTTCGCATTCTGCAATTTGGGTCATAGGAGGCACCTCTGACTGGGATATTGTCAATTCTGTTCTAGGTGTTTGAGATCAGCTGCTACCAGGAGTCCCTGGCCCCCTGCTTCTGCCTGTCTGCCCACAGCAACATCAACCAAATCACGGAAATCCTCCTGGGGGAGACCAAAGCTTATGTGTTCTTTGAGCGGAGCTATGGAGACATGCATTCCTTTGTCCGCACTTGCAAGAAGCTGAGGGAGGAAGAGGCAGCCCGACTGTTCTACCAGATTGCCTCAGCCGTGGCCCACTGCCATGATGGGGGGCTGGTGCTGCGCGACCTCAAGCTGCGAAAATTTATCTTCAAGGATGAAGAGAGGTGAGTGTGGTTCGGCCCATGCAGATGTTGGTGTGTGTGTGTATGTGTTTGTGTGTGTGTGTGTGCTTTGATACAGTGTCTCCATCTGCATCTGCAGAGAGCTTGTTCTGATGCCTATTGTCCAGGTAAGGGTTAAGGCAAGGAGAAAAAAGACAGACTATTGTGGTGTGCCAATCCACTTGGCAAATAAGGATCCATTACCCCTGTCCTGAAATGTTCAAAGGCCAGGGGATGGGGTAGTCTGTGATCTGCTGAACGTGCGTGGTCTGTGTGACAAATTCTGGAGGCTGCACACCAGTGTGGCAGTTTCAAAGTCAACAAAGGCAAGTTAATGAAGGCTCCATGCCTTCAGAACAGCTACCTACAGGGCGATGTTTATTAGCTGTTTTCTATGCTTGTAGTAGGTGTGAACCACAGGCTTGGTGGTGAGTGTCAGAAATAGGTAGACACTGGACCTGTAAAACAGCTAGAGGTGAGTCCTGTGTGATATGGGACAGGGATTGTCAGTTCTAACTAGATCTTGAAGAACCAAGAAAGGTTTTAAGGAGAGAGAAGCCTACCCTGTCTGTGTGTGGGAGGAACTGGTTTGCCAGGTGAGGAACTGATGGTGTGAGCTCACGAATGAGGGAGGCCTGGCTTCTCAAGAAACATCTGTTCAAGACAGGCATCTGGGCTTCATTCATGGATACACCATTAACTCATCAGGTTCCATTTAACCAACCTGGCCAGAGTCCAGCTTTCTCTTCACTTGTAAAATTTCCTGTTAAGACTGTTTGTTTGTTTGTTTGTTTGTTTTGTTTTGTTTTGTTTTTCCTTAGAGGGACACGGGCAATGCATTTAGAGTCATTATCCCTCACTTGTTCTTTGTGCCCCAAGATGTGAGGCTCCACACACCTGAGTCCATGGCATCTTAAGTCTTGACCTTGGTCATTCTGGACAGGAAAAGAGGACAGGAAATTTCAAGGCTCTCAGCTAGGACCATCTGCTGACAATCTGATCCACTTCCTTCATCCCCTCACCCTGCCTGACATTTCTTTGGTACGTTCTGTAAATCACACAGACCTTGGGAGCAGACCTTTCTGCTTTCTATTTCCTTTGACATCCAGCTCAGGGGGCTGTGATATTTTCATACTATTGTTTGCAGAAATCCATTGCCCATTCCCCCATGAGCCAGATCTAGTGATTTGTGCTTTCTTAGTCTTTCTTTCTTTCCTTCCTTCTTTCCTTCCTTTCTTTTCTTTTGATCTATTTATCTATGTATCTATCTATCTATCTATCACCTATCTATATACCTATATATCTATATACCTACTTTTTTTTGTTCTTCTCTATGGTTTGAACTAATTGAAGATTTAGTGTCTGGCAAGCACTTGGGGCTTAGCAAAGGAAAAGGGCCTGTCACTACTTAAGCCAAATGGAGTAATTTCATGGGTGTTTATAATCCAGCTGTGTATACAGTATGCAGAAAGCTTCTGGGCTTTCTGAGCCTTAATGGTTGGTTTTTTGCACATGGAGGTAGGGTGGGTGGGCACTAGCAGTTCTGGCAGCTAATGTCCTGGTTCTTGATTGCCATGGCTTCATTTTCTTTAGACAATGCAAAGAAGTAGGCTCTGCTAAGATAAGAATGTGGGTGATGCTTTCCTTTTTTCTTCTTCAGCTTAGGTACTCCAGCCATTGGGAGCAAGGCACAGGCTCATGGTCCTTATGCTTTTGTCTTTAATAATCTTTATAATCTTGGGTTGCCATCTCTCAACCTCATTTTCATCCTCCTTATGTTGTCATGGCTGTACCATGGTGGCTTTTCATTCTTTTTTAATTTTAACACACAAATCTCTGCTTCTTTGAATGTTCTCATTTGGAAGTTGAATATGGGTTGGCCAAAGATGTTCCCTTTACTATCTGTTCTCCTACAAATGTAAGAGGCAATGTTTACTGACCTCTTGCTATACAGCTGTAGGTCAGCTTATTTAATTCTATGTGAAGGTGGAGAGGGGAGGATTATCGATTGTGTGTGTGTGTATGCATGTGTATGTGTGCAAATGTTTCAGCAAAGCAAACCCTCTTTGTACATTACAAGTAAACACTCCACCAATGAGCTATATCCCAGTACATGTACATTTTGCAGCCAATGGCTCTGAAAGCAAGAGAGTTGAAGTCTCAGAGATAACAGCAAGAAAGTGCAGAAGGTGGATGAGTTTCTCTAGGAAGACAACTGAGCTGTCAAGGACTCCATTTATCTTCCAGAGCGCATGAGCCCTCAAACACTGTAGCCATATCCTTTAGGGTCTGCATGGTTAAGCATTACTTTAGAGACCTAGTCAGGCATCAGTGAGTATCAGGGTGGCACATCCCAAGATCACACTCACGGCAAATAAACATTTGTGAAGTGAGCCAAAAGAGTGCAGATATCCCCATGTTGCAGAACACTACAGCATGACCCATGGCGGCCTTTGTCTGATTTCTAACACTTCCTTCTTTGGTCCCATGGAAACAACTGTGAAGGACTACTTTGGCAGACTCCTCATTTACTTATTCAAACACAAATCTCTCTCTGTGTGTGTCTCTCTCTCTCTGTCTCTCTCTCTCACACAAACACACACACACATACATTCTTGCTTTGAGATAATTTTGCAATACAGGCACGGTACTTTGGAATTAGGATCCTCCTGCTTCAGCCACAGAATTATGTAGGTAGGTATGGGCCTCACACTTGACTCAACCTCCTCTTTGCTGATCTCAAGAGTAGTAGAAGGTAAAGAAAGCCTCCTGTGGCAGCATAGACTGAGCCCCACGTTTCTTGAACAAGAGCTGCCTTCTGTGCAGGCTTTAGACCGGAGACTACCTTTGACTGAGCCCACAGCCATTCATGAAGATTCTTAATGGAACTGTCCATGCTTTATAAATACAATGTCAATTAGATTACACCCAAGGTCATGTGTGGACTCAAGGCTGGTGTACCTGCTACTGTTGTATTGGGATCATTGATAGTTCAGCTTCATCTGATTCCCTTTGGCTTTGATTTAGGTTCCAGATTCAGGTCCTGATCTCAAATCTTTTTTAATGTTTATAAGCTCTTCAGGATTGACAGAATTGGTAGCTTCCCTGGAAGGTGGTTAGCATTCAGTGAGGTGACACTGTGACTCGCATGCAGAGCAAGTGCTCATTATGTGGCAGCTGTACTTGAAGTCATTGGGGGGGGTGTCTTTATGCAGAACAATCCAGAAGACTCCTGGGCTCCTGAATGATGAAGTCATTCTCTTTAGCAGTCACAATAGTTCCTTCTAGTGTAAGGTTGATTCCACCCAGACTGGGGGAGGGGGTGCCTCTGCATGGCAGAAGTGCTCTTCTGTGTTCTTTCTGAAGACCCCCCCCCCCACCAATGACTCTCATTTTGAAGAAATGAATTCCCAGCCTTCAGTGAACTTGCCTAGGGCACACTCTTTGCACCCTCAATCCTGCAGAACCCTGCATGCCCTCCTCCAGATCATAGAGGAAACAGAAAATTGACCCACATTGCCACAGGGGATCCCCAGTACCTCCTGGCCTTTTTCTGTGGTGTGTTGTGGAAGCTGCTTGATTAGCATATTGCTAGAGACCTTTTCAGTTTCAAAGACTGGCCTCAGCTTAGAAGTGAGCCAGAATGGCTGTCTGGGTTCCAGTCCCTGCTCTTGCACTTCTTAAGAAATCTAGCCTTGACAGAACCCCTAACCTGTATACTCAGACTGCCTCAACTATAAAGTGGAACTAGAAAGATTTTCCTCAAAAGAAAGGGGATTAATGTTGACCTTGGCTTTGTCCACATCTGCTTTCCCCTGCCCTTTTATATCTTTGCGCTAATAGGCTGCTAAGGAAAGTGGTGGGACACTTTCCTGCAATGACCTTTGCTCTGTTTTGTCCAGCTGGTTTCTTCTCCTGGGACAGGGCTGCTTGCCATCCCCAGGCTCCACCCCCTAGCCTCAGATCAGTGTTTACATCTCCTAGCACAGAAACGTCCCATGTGAACTCAGAGACTTGCCTTCTTACATGCTACTGCTCTGGTTTAGAGATCGCTATCTCTTAAGGTGGCTGCTTTCATTTCATCTGCTGTGTGGAAGCCTCCGAAGGCACTGAGGCAGTCAGTGGCTGGGAGTGGGGGGTGGGTGGGCAGGGGAGGCTTTGTGTAGGAAATGCAGCTTGCACCTCCTTGTTGGGGAAAGCCTTCCTCCCTCCCCACAGCAGAGGTCAAGGCTGTCTCTCTGAGGTGCTCTTCCTTTAGATCTTCAAGTTGCTCCTGCCTCCACTGAGGTTTCTATATCTAATAAAGAATTCAGGGCAGGCATCGGAGCCCCAGAGGCCAGGCTCAGCTTTTCTTTCACTAATAGCTATATATAGTTTTGCAACTTATAGGTACTCTATTTTAGGGAAGCTCTCTCTCTCTCTTTTTTTTTCTCTCTCTCTCAGCTTTGATGAGACAAAGCTTCCAGGAAATGCTCATATTTAGGTAGACCAATTATATGTCCTTGTCCAGGTGCCAAATCTTAGGCAAAGTTGTCTTCCCATTTTACTCCTAACGAGCTCCCCAGGACAGCTAAGTGTCCTTTTCCCACACATGCTTTTGCCCATGTGGACGCTCATCTTCTTTTTACTCTCACTCATGGCATGTGTGTGTGTGTATGTGTGTGTGTGTGTGTGTGTGTGTGTGTGTGTGTGTGTGTAAATGTTTATGTGGAGGTTAAAGATCAACTTTGGGTGCTGCTTTTTAGGAACCAGAAGCCAGGACCTATCCATCTTGTTTTTTGAGAGAATGTCTCTCACTGGGACCTGAGGGTAACCAGTAGTCTAGGCTGACTCAAGAGTTATCCCAGGTCTCTGCCTCCACCTTTCCAGCACCGGAATTCCAAGTGCACCACACACTGAGGTTTTGACATGGAGTTACAAGCTTGCTCAGCAAACACTTCACGGACTGAACTACCTCCTAGGCCCTTCCTACTCTGTTCTCATGGTCTGACCTGAATACTCCT